TTTTTGCTATGGGTGCGTGCACTCACCAGAAAGACAGAGAGAGAGACAGAGAGACAGAAAGCGAGAAACCACCCCCTAGGGACAATGACCACGCCACAATCCCTTCTCCTCCATTCTCCTCTCGGGATCTTGGGGCATGCATGCACGTGCACCCTGCATGAGTTTAAGCCACTGGGTCCAGGACTCAAACTGCAGTCGACTACATGAGGATCCAGCAACATAGCCATTACACCATCTGCTGGTCCCCCCAGTGTGATTTTCAAGCTGCCAGGTCTAGGACTTGAACCATGGTCAGCCATGTGAGAGTCCAGAACTTTAACTACCACATCGCCTGCTGGCTTTGGCAGACCTGTGATTTTAAATAAAATCCTAAGATGCAATAATATATTATAAATCTACAGTGTTATATATTCAGAATTATCTTGGCTTTACTTGGCCCTTTGCATTTCATTTAATTTGAGAATTAGCTTGCCAATTAATACTAAGAAGTGTGATGTGACTTTGATACGTGGAAGGTATAAATCAATTTAGGGAGAATTATCTTTACAGTATTGGGTTTTACATAGTGTATTCCTCATTTAATCTAATGTTTTATAGTTTTCTGTGTGGAATCTGTCTATGTCAATTGTTAGGTTTAGTCTTAGATAGCTAATAGTAATATAAATGATATCTTTTAAAAATGTCAATCCTGTGGCAGGTGTTACGGTGGTTAAGGGTGCTGGGTTCCCACATGGCTGACTGTGGTTCAAGTCCTGGAACTGGCAGCTTGCTTTCTCACTTTTCCTGTCTCTCATGCACTCTGTTCTGCTCTGGTCAAATTTAAAAAATAAATAAAGTTTAAAAAGAGAGAAAGAGAAAAAAATTTTAATTTCAATTTCTAATTAAATTTGTAATACTACTTACATAGTTTATGGTTTACATAGAGAGATATAATTGATTTTTGTATGTTGTATGCAATGACCTTGCTAAATGAACTTCCTAACTCTAAGAGTGTTATTAATAGGTTATTTTGAATTTTCTTTTTCTTTCTTCCTTCTTTTCTTTTTTTTTTTTAAGTTTTTGCCACAGGGCACTCTGGAGAGAGACAGAGAGAGAAAGTAAGAAGTCATGCCCTTGGGGGATGACCACACCACAATCCTTTCTCCTCCATTCTCCACTTGAGAATTTGGGCATGCACGCGGACACGCCCAACATGATTTTCAAGCTGCTGGGTCCGGGACTCGAACAGCTGTCAACCATGTGGGAATCCAGGGTCTTAACAACCACAGTCCCTGCTGGCTCCTTAAATTTTCTTTATAATTATGTCATCTACAAACAATAGTGACTTTGTTTCTTTCCAGTTTTTATACTGTTACTGGTTTCCCTCTCTGCACAGGCAAGTACCTCATGCAGTGTTCAGCAGAAGAAATGGTAGGGATACCCTGGTCTCACGTTTAGTCATGGGGGTATCTTTCAGTGTTTCACCATTAAGTGGGCTGCTTGCTGTAGATGTTTTTGAGATAGCCTTTATTAGATTAAGGAAGTTTTCTTCTATTCCTAAAATACTAAAAGAGTTTGGTTGTTGTTTTTTAAAATCTTATGGATATTGGGACCAGCAGATGGCATAATGGTTATGTTGCTGGACTACCACATAGTCAACCAAAGTTTTAGTCCCGGATCCGGTGGCTTAAAACTCATCCCAGACGTGTGTGCATGTGTGCCCAAAATCCTGAGAGAATGGAAGATAAGGGATTGCAGCATGGCCATACCCCCTGGGGAGGTGATTTCTCTCTTTCTGTCTCTCTGTCTCTGTCTATCTCTCCGGTGAGTGCACACCCTATAGCAAAAATCTCTCTTAAAAAGTTACATGGGTATTGATTTTGTCAAAATTTTTTTCTGCATCTTTGGGGAGATAAAATTATATAATTTTTATCTTGACTTTACTGATATGTATCTCTATTCTCATTGGTTTATTTTGGAATGTTAAGCCAGACTGTCCTGTCTAGAATAAAGTTAACTTGGCAGTGTTGTATTATTCTAACTAGAATTATTGCTGTTAAGATTTTTTGCATTTTGGGGCCAGTAGGTGACATGGTAGTTAAGGCACTGGATTCCCACATGGCTGATGATAGTTTGAGTTCCAGTCCTTGTGGCTTGAAGATTATACTGAGCATGTGTGTGTGCATGCCCAAAATCCTAGGAGGAAAATGGAGGAGAAGGGATATGGCATG